AAAAGATGCCTTGCGTCACAAGTATTTGCTTTTTAGTACTTGAATTATGAACTCAATTCGGTATAGATTGCAATGACTTGTTTAATTTTAAAATGATAGTCTCCATGAAAACATCACTGCAAGAAAAAAACACACAAAGAAAAACCAAGATTTGGCAACAACCGAAGACAAAAGAGACCATTCTGTAGAATCTTTAGACTTTAGAGAAATGGGGTTTCTTATGGGTAATTGATTTCTGCTCCTGTGTCTTAAGAGTCCCACCATATCTAATCAAAACCTGATTGATTTGTGCTCCTGAGTAACTATGTATTTCAAATCTAGGTTAGTGAAAACGGAAGGACAAAAACAAGAGTTGCTTCGCATTTCTTCCCACGTAAAATTCACGAGCAACTCAGAGCACATTATTAATACAGACTCGTAGAGCATCAGCAATTATAAGAACAGACGACTCAGTGATTTCAAGATGAGGAAGCTAAGGCATAGGTCTATAGTGAAGAAAAAAGAGGGAAATTCAAATTCAGATTTATTTAGCAGATGTAAGACAAGCTTTTCTATATCTATAAGACTATAACGATGGGAAATGTGACAAATTCTTTAATCTTCACTCAAGAGCACAAGCTAAAATCAAGATGAAGATAGAATATAACCTATTGAAAAGAATAGGCCTAGAGGAAGAGTGTAATTAATATTACCAACAAAAGGGGAAGAAACTATATCCACATTTCTCGAAGAGGTTCCAAAACAACGTCGCTGAGAGAGATGTTGAGAGAATTGATCGGTGCGATTCAAGGGAGATCTACAATGAACAAGTGGTTGAACATGGACAATTCTTGGGTTCACCTCTTTATTCATCAGTTTATTTGTTAGCCAATCAAAACATGTCACTTAATTAAAATTAAAAATAAACATTATTTTAATAAAACAATTAATGTAAGTTATCATTTTTATCACATAGATTAAAAAATAAAGGAATTAACCCAAAAATTGTTTTATCACATAGATTACTAAACCCAAATAGTAAATTTCCTCGTAATTTATTTTATCATTTCAATTAAGTAAACCCATTGTGACATGTCCTACTCACGTCATCGTATATATATCCGTCGTCAAAACCCATATTTCAGTCGACAGGTTTTTGAGAAGTTAAAGTCGTTTTTTGCTGGGAATTAACAAAGACTAAGAAAGAAAAATCGGTTTTTTTGGATTTGATATGGAAGGTCAAAAGCAGACGAATTTCACGTTTGAGATAGATAATTTCTCCGAGAAGAAATCTGTGATACGATCTCCACAATTCTCAAGCAGCGGCTGCGAATGGTATAAATGAAATTATTATATTTGTCTCAAGCAGCGGCTGCGAATGGTATAAAGAAAATTATTATACTTGTTTTGTGTTTTAATTAACCTTTTTCGTTTAAATCTAGATGTTATTAGATGTTCAACTTAAAAACAGTGTAAAATTTTCTCAAAAAAAAAAACAGTGTAATTAAATCTGTTTCTTTTTTTCTTTTTTTCAGGTTTTGTTAAGGTTTATCCCAAAGGAGATCGTGTTGAAGATCACTTATCTCTGTACCTCCACGTTGCGAATCCTGAATCGTTGCGACTTGGATGGAAAAGGCGAGCTAGCTTTTCATTCTTTCTGTTGAATCAATCAGGCAAAGTGATTCACAGAACTAGAGGTAATTAACTTATCTTCCATGTATATATATATATAAATGATTGATGAAGAAGAAAACTTAAATTAATCTTTCCGTTTTTGTCTTACAGAATTGTCGTCCTTGTTCTGCGCTCAGGTCTCAGGATGGGGTTTTCAAAAGGCGGTGCCTCTTAAAAAGCTTCAAGAAAAAGGTTTTTTGGAGAAGAACAAACTGATCGTTAAAGTCCAAGTAAAAGTAGCTGAAGTTGTTGATGAAGCACAAGTAACTGGGAAGGAAACGATGGATATTAGTGGTTTCCAAGTTCTTTATTCCCAGGTATAACTAACTATAATGAAATATGAATATACTTTGTTGTTGTTGTTTTATTTTATTAATTATAAGAAGATTCATGTTGACAGTGATACGTATTAGTTATTAGTTAATTTTCCTATGATCATTAGTGTTTCTATTTCTTTAGTTTCCTTTTCGAAATAGCTGCGTTTAGAGTTTTATGATATATATAGAAGTTAAGGCTTGATTGTGAAAATCATCCAAGCTAGAGAAAGAGCTTTGGAGGGATTATTGGGTTAGCCCGAGGGGGAGAGAACATAGTTCTCTTTAAGACTTTTACTCTTGTTATTTATCTACTATCTTAATAAAGGTGTTTGGTTTTGGTTAATCGATTCTATCTCTAACTGACAGGCTATTCCAGTAAGTTGGATTTTCGTGGATCACCCTGACATTGCTTGAATTTCAAACCAAAAAGCCAATTGGTGAAGACAACATACATGAATATACTCCTTCGTCTTATCGATATACTGAACAAGCCTCCACATAGCTTATCCGAGACTGAGCTAAGCAATGCCCAGAGCGTGTTGATCGATCTAACAGAAGCAGGCTTCAAGCTAGACTGGTTGAAAACAAAGCTTGATGACGTTTACTTGGAGAGGAAGAAAGAAATTGCTGATGGTTCTCGTGTCAAATAACTTGAGGAACAAGTCAAGAATCTCAAAGCTGAACTAAACAAGGAGAAGATCAAATCTGCTGCTGCTAAAGTTTTTTCATTGGAGGAGACTATGTGTAATCTCTGCAGAGCTGAACTGAACAATGAGAATGTCAAGGCTGCTACTTCTGCTTCTAGAGACTGGCTCAAGGGTGTTGCTCACTCGTGGAAAGTAATGAAAAATAGATTAAAGAATGCTTCTTAAGTGTTTCATGGATTATATAGCTGAAAAGATCAAACCCGTAACAGTTTCCATTGTCCAGTGTTTTTATTTTTATTTTTTAATTTACATGTTTTCTTTTATTTTATTTTTTGTCAAGAACTATGTTTTCTTTTATAAATCACAAAGTTCTAAGAGACTGTTAAGCATAAGTAATCCTTAGGTATCATCAAAAAAAAAAAAGATTCAGGAAGATCGGAGTTCCAAACTCTATCACATGGAGGTCTCGAATGCCCAGTTTGTACTCTATCTCATTCTCGCTCCTTCCGTTATCTTTTCTGTACCCATTTGAATCATTTGAATGGAATTGAAAATGGAAGGGAAAATTTGAGACATGTCTCAGTCGGGACGGGTTTCCTATCCCGAAATGGACATGTCTAGAGGTAAGTATCAAGACTTTTAATACAAGTTGTGCAGATGACATGGTGTACACCCAATGATTCTTGAATAGTGTCAAGATTTTTGGTTGCTTAACCATAATTTGGTTTTAAAACTTGGTGCTCAAATTATGCTTCTTAGGAATATTGATCTGAAGGGTGGATTATGCAACGACACGCGATTCATACTAACTTAGGTTGCTAATTATGTTCTAGAGAATGCGGGGTTGTAAGACCAAGACCGGTCTTCTTTCATGGATAACTTTACGTTTGAGTTTTTAGAGTTATTTTAAAATTGGATAATATTTTTTAATACCCGATTTATATTTACCGATCACTTTTCTGTGATATTCCGTCTTAAATCTCGAAATGAACATGCCTAAACCATACATATGAAAATTTTACCTATTTGTTTTTGTTTCTTAGTGCAAAAATAATTTGTGTTTGATATTGAGTTCATGCTTGCTTAACTATACAAATTTTATAATTGTAAAAATATTTCTTCATTGCTTGATACACATGATACACAAGTCACGGGAGGCGGATTGTATAAGGAGTACAGTAAAACATCTATAAATCAATACTCAGATAATTTAATAATTATTATAAAATAATAAATTTTGCTGGTCTCAACTCAAAAAATCCATCAAATTCGATAAGATAATAAAATAATAATTTTTTAAAAATTCCTATGTAAATATATGCTTTCAACAAAAACATAAATTAATAATTATATAAATTTATGTAAAAATATGTAAATAAAATATTCTAAAATATGACTAATGTATTTGATTTTACTTAAAGTTGAAAATTCTAATTGGATCTCATCTCTCTAATTATTATATCAGTAGCTCCTAATGTTTTACGATATGCTTTCAAAATTTATGATGTGATAATTAATTTTCTTACCTGTAAATATTTCTAAATGTATTGTAGTGTTATCTTTAATTTTACAAACAATAATAAGGATACTACCCATAATTTTTTATAAATTTCAAACTTATGAACATTTATATTTATATACGAACAATCCAATATACTATTAAAAAATATTCTATTGCGATAGTTATGATTGTTAATCATAATTTGTATTAAGAGATTTATTTAAAATTTTAAATATAACATTATTCAATATTTTAAAAAAAAAAATAGGCAGAAAACCAATTTTCTCTATAAATTAATAATTATTAATTTGTAGATAAATTAATACAAAGAAAAATTAATAAAATATTATGGTCCCGATATTATTAATTTATAAAGGTTTTACTTGGGATGGAACTATGATCTGGGTTTTTATTATAAAATTTCAATCAAGAATTTAGAAATTAAAAAGTGGATGTTTTAAACAATGATAATTGACTTTATTTCAAATCTGATTATGATGAGATTATATTGATACACATATTATCTATGAACGAATATTGATTTTAGAATATTTTTTTGACGATAAATCCAACCAAATTTTTGATTTAGTATAAATTAATGAAAAAATAAAAAAATAGAATAACATATTATATAAAAGTTTATTTTTTTAATTTTAACGTTCTGTTTATTAAGTATTTGTAATCCGCACGCAGTTAATTTAGAATATAATTTATTAAATTATATTTTCTTCAAAGATTTGTGGACCCGGCTGAAATTCAGCTCCCACAGTATATATATCCCGAATTGTCGTCAAAGCCCTAATTTCAGTGGACAGGTTTGTGAGAAGGTAAAGTGGCAATTAACAAAGGCTAAGAAAGAAAATTCGGTTTTTTGGATTTGATATGGAAGGTCAAAAGCAGACGAATTTCACGTTTGAGATAGATAATTTCTCCGAGAAGGAATCTGTGATAGCATCTCCACAATTCTCAAGCAGCGGCTGCAAATGGTATAAAGAAAAAAAATATTATATTTGTTTTGTGTTTTAATTAACCTTTTTCGTTTAAAGCTAGATGTTATTAGATGTTCAAGTTAACAACTGTGTAACCAAATCTGTTTTTTTTTGTTTTCAGGTTTGTTAAGGTTTATCCCAAAGGAAATCGTGTTGAAGATCACTTGTCTCTGTTCCTCCACGTTGCGAATCCTAAATCGTTGCGACTTGGATGGAAAAGGCGAGCTAGCTTTTCATTCATTCTGTTGAATCAATCAGGCAAAGAGATTCACAGAACTTATGGTAATATACTTATCTTCCATGTATGTATATATATATATATATATATGACTGATGAAGAAGAAAACTTAAATTAATCTTCTGTTTTTGTCTTATAGAATCGCCGTGCAACTTGTTCTTCGCTCAGCTACAAGGACGGGGTTTTCCAAAGGCGGTGCCTCTTAAAAAGCTTCAAGAAAAAGGGTTTTTGGAGAAGAACAAACTGATCATTAAAGTCGAAGTAAAAGTAATTGAAGTTGTTGATGCAGCACAAGTAACTGGGAAGGAGACAATGGATGTTTGTGGTTTCCAAGTTCTTTATTCCCAGGTATAACTAACTATTATGAAGATACTTCTTGTTGTTGTTTTATTTTATTAATTATAAGAAGATTCATGTTGACAGGCTTTTCGAGTAACTTGGATTTTTGAGGAACACCCTGACATTGCAGTGAATTTCAAACCAAAAAGCCAATTGGTGAAGACAACATACATGAATATACTCCTTGGTCTTATCGATACACTGAACAAGCTTCCACATAGCTTATCCGAGACTGAGTTAAGCAATGCTCAGAGCGTGTTGATCGATCTAACTGAAGCAGGCTTCAAGCTAGACTGGTTGAAAACAAAGCTTGATGACGTTTACTTGGAGAGGAAGAAAATTGCTGATGGTTCTCGTGTCAAAGAACTTGAGGAACAAGTCAAGAATCTCAAAGCTGAACTAAACAAGGAGAAGATCAAATCTGCCGCTGCTAAAGTTTTTTCATTGGAGGAGACTATGTGTAATCTCTGCAGAGCTGAACTGAACAATGAGAATGTCAAGGCTGCTACTTCTGCTTCTAGAGACTGGCTCAAGGGTGTTGCTCACTCGTGGAAAGTAATGAAAAATAGACTAAAGAATGCTTCTTAAATGTTTCATGGATTCTATATAGCTGGAAAGATCGAACCCATTACAGTTTCCATTGTCCAGTGTTTTTTTTTCTTTTTTTTTTTTAATTTACTATGTTTTCTTTTATAAATCACGAAGTTCTAAGAGACTGTTAAGCATAAGTATTCCTTACGTATCATCAATAAAAAAGAGAATCAGGAAGATCAGAGTTCCAAACTCTATCACATGGAGGTCTTACGGTAAAAAGAAAATTTTTGCCTAATGCTTTGGTAAAAATATCGAGCACTTCTTTCCAGCTATATAATCCAATTAACTCTGAGCCATATCATTACTTATGGTACTCCAAAACTAACAGATTCAATTCAGATTGAGACCATACCTTCTGACTCTGATTTCAGGAAACTTACCTCCTTATATAACAAGCTCATGAACGCAACGCTATTATTATTTCGGGGGATTCGTTATCTAGATGGAAAAGGTATGGTCATCGATTCGTGTATGTTTGAGATGTCAAAGATGTAGGAAGTAAATTTAGAAGAGACAAATATTGCAATGTAATAAAACGATTTGAGATACAGAAAAGCGTTTTATAAAAACGGATTAAGGAAAAACGAGAAGTGGAGGCGAGATGATCTCTTTCCTTAATTCAAAATATCTCCCGCAGTGTGGCGGTTGGATGAGATAATGAATCTCAGTATACAATCACTGATATTCGTATAATCGCAGCACCCGATTATAGAATGTGACGAACTAGAAATTCTACGATATACTCTAAACACTTACTCTTGAAAGAAGAAAAGAGACGCGAGAGATTGAGAAAAGTGTGAACGAGTTTTTGTCTGTAAATTTTTGAGACGAGCGATTGAGAAATGAGAGAGGAGAGATCGATATATATAGCAAAGGAGAGAGGAGCGTCGCACTTAATCAGCATGTTAATGATGTAATTAATTGTGCGCTAATGACGCAATTTGGGCGTTAATATTGGCGTGATTTTCGGGATAGACATTTGACTGCAGTTTAATGTCGTGATTTTGTAGGAATTTGAACCGAAAACTTTAGCAAATTGGGCCAGAAATATTGACCAAAACGTGGCCCAAAAAGAACATTTTTTTGGGCCGAAGGCCCACATTCACCAAGACCAAGACCAAGACCAAGACCAAGACCAAGACCAAGATCAAAACCAAGACCAAGACCAAGACCAAGACCGAGCCCAAGCCCGGCTCGACTCGGCGGCGGCGGTGGCGCGCGAGGGGTCCATGGTTCTCCTTCAACACTTTGAACAATGTCATGTGTGTGTCTATATTTATATGACTCTGAATTTTTCCAATCCATGGATGTGGGACAAAATGAAGTTCCTCACAATTTAAGTTGCCTTGAAGGGCTTTATTTTTATTCACACTTAACCAAATATTAAAGCCTTTGGGCTTTGTAATAATATGGTCCAACAATCCCCCACATGAATAGAAATAACTCTAAACATACGACCGGACTGACTCGAAAACTGGACTCGACTAGACTAGACGGACTTTGACTAGGCTAGACGGACTTTCGAGAGTATAAACAAAAATTCCACTGTGTTTGAGATAGTAGTGTGTTTCAACCTTGAACCACTCAATATTAATATCTGTCGGGCTGACTCAGCTAGGAGGTGAACATGATGTCTTGAACCACCCGGATTTTGATGTAAACCGAGACAACAAATACAACTCAGTTTCATTTTCTCGTAGAACTAAGTTCTCTATTGTGTTCATTTTGGCCTTCAACTTGCCTGGTGAATCATGAGTGAAGTTGGAGAATATATAGCCTTTTGTTTTTTCATTCTCCTAGAAACAGCCCCATTTCACACTCACTAGGTGATTTTGCCAATAGTCTTTGTTTTAAGAAGTGCTGTACTTCACTGATATATCAAAGCTATGGACTTATCATTAAAAGCTATGCTTATCCGTTGTAGATATACAATGAAAATTGTATGTAAGCACTGTCAATCATCTTGGGACCTAGATTAAGACTATACGTCTTTCAATGCGTTATATTTTGTTTGATTTAGTTTTCCTTTTTGAACCTTACATCTTGGGATCTCCATTCATGTAGGTGGGGTGTCCATCAAACAACCTCTTTAGTCATAGGCTTTAAACCCATTCCCTTTGATGATTTGAGAACTTGATCACGAGCTAGACCCTTAGTGAATGGGTCTGCTAGATTATCAGCTGATTTTATGTAATCTAGTGAGATTACTCCGGTTGTGATCAAGCTTCTAATGGCTTTATGTCGCCTTTTAATGTGACGAGATTTACCATTATAGAGATTATTCAGTGCCTGGGCGATAGCTGATTGGCTATCACAATGTACACGTATTGCCGGGACTGGTTTCTCCTACATTGGAATATCTTCCAAGAAATTGCGGAGCCATTCAGCTTCCTCTACAGCTTTATCTAAAGCTATAAATTCAGACTCCATGGTTGATCGGGCCAGTAGAGTTTGTTTGGAAGACTTCCAAGAGACTGCTGCACCAGCAAGGGTAAAGACATATCCACTTGTGGATTTCGAGTTTTTGGTGTCAGATATCCAGTTTGCATCACTGTATCCTTCCAAAACTTGCGGGTTCTCTCCCATAGTGCAGCCCATAACTTTTAGTGTATCGAATGTAATTTAATATTCTAGTTATGGCTTTCCAGTGTTTGTGTCCTGGATTACTTGTATAGCGACTAAGTACATTTACAGCGTGTACTAGATCAGGTCTAGTACAATTGGTTAAGTACATAAAGCTACCAATTATCCTTGCATACTTGACTTGTGACACTGGTTCACCTGAGTTCTTGGTCAAGTGAAGTTGAGAGTCAACATGAGTTTTTGCAGTTCTATTTGAATAAGTTTTAAACCGTTCAAGTATCTTTTCAGCATAATGAGCTTGAGACAAGGTAATCCCATCAGAAGTTCTTGTGATTTGTACTCCGAGAATGACATCTGCCAGACCCATATCTTTCATGTCAAACTGTGCACTAAGCATGTTCTTAGTTTGTTGGATTATGTCATTATTGCTGCCAATAATTAACATGTCATCTACATATAAACATAGTAAGATATATCCACTAGGGGTCGTTTTTATGTAGATGCATTTATCACATTCATTTATGCTGAAACCATCTGACATCATAGCATTGTCAAATTTTTCATGCCATTGTTTTGGTGGTTGTTTAAGTCCATACAATGACTTCACAAGTCTACAGACTTTGTGTTCTTGTCCTGGGACTACAAACCCTTCGGGTTGTTTCATATAGATTTCCTCGTCTAATTCACCGTTTAGAAATGCTGTTTTGACGTCCATCTGGTGGATTTCCAAATTTCTTAAGGCTGCAATTCCAATCAGCATTCTGATGGAAGTTATTCTTGTGACTGGAGAATAAGTGTCAAAGAAATCCAGACCTTCTTTTTGTCGGAACCCTTGCACTACAAGTCTAGCCTTATATTTATCAACTGAGCCATCGGTTTTCAATTTTGTTTTGAAGATCCATTTGCACCCTAGAGCTTTAAACCCTTCAGGTAACTCAGTGATTTCATAAGTATGATTTTGTCTAATGGAATCCATCTCACTATTGACTGCTTCCTCCCAAAGAGGTGCATCGGGAGTGGACATAGCTTCAGTAAATGTTCTTGGTTTGTTCTCGGTGAGAAAGACTATCAAGAATTCAGGACCGAACGATTTTTCCTTACGAGCTCTTTTGTTGCGTCTAGGTTCAATATCTTCGTCTTCTGAAGCAGGAAACCTAGATGTGGTTGCCTCATCTTCCCGAGGACGTTTTAAATTTTGTCTATCCTTGCACGGGAAAATGTGTTCAAAAAATGAAACATTTTTTGATTCCATTATTGTATTCACCTGAATATCCAGTACATCTGATTTGTGAACAAGAAACCGATAAGCACTACTGTTGCGTGCATATCCAATGAAAATACAGTCAACAGTTTTTGGTCCTATGGTGACCTTTTTAGGAGGTGGTACAGCGACTTTTGCTAAGCACCCCCACACTTTCAGGTATTTGTACGAAGGTACTCTATCTGTCCATAGTTCATATGGCGTTTTGCCAGTTACTTTGTGCGGTATTTTGTTGAGAATATAGTTTGTAGTGAGAATTGCTTCCCTCCACAAATTCTGGGGTAGCCCAGATTCCTGCAACATTGCATTCATCATCTCTTTAAGAGTTCGATTTTTGTGTTCCGCAACTCCATTAGATTCTGGTGAGTAAGGAGTGATGGTCTGATGTATAATGCCTTTTTCTATTCAGAAAACGTTGAACGGACCATCATATTCGCCTTCTCTATCACTCCTAACAATTTTAATAGTTTTACCGAGTTGATTTTCAACTTCGATTTTATATTCTTTGAATTTCTCCAAGACTTCATCTTTACTTCTTATTAAATAGATGTAACAGTATCTTGTACAATTATCAATGAAAGTTACAAAATACTTTTTACCTCCTCTAGATTGTACTAACTTTAAGTCGCACAAATCTGTGTGTATGAAGCCTAGAGGTTCGGTAGTTCGATCAACATGAGGAAATGGAGTTTTTGTGAGTTTTGCTTGTACACATGTCTCACATTTATTTTTGCTTATTTTGCATTTGGGGATTAAGTTCGAATTTATTAATCTTTGTATAGATTTGTAATTCACATGTCCTAATCGTTCATGCCATAAATCAAAAGACTCAACCAAGTAAGAAGATTCATTCTTATTAATTGAACTGGTAGAAGGTATATCATTTTTGAGGACAGTCATTACACACATTTTGATTAAGTCCTCCTTAACATAACTCTTCCCAATAAAAACCTCATGTTTCCTTAAATCAGCTGGTTAGATCCAATGCGGACGTCGATTCCGTGCTTGCTGATCATGGTTCCAGAGATCACGTTTTTCCTCATTTTTGGCACATGCTTCACATTGGTGAGGGTGACTTCTTTTCCCGAAGTCATCTTTAAGACCACATTGCCTATGCCTTCAATCTTGGAGTATGACTCATTTCCCATCAACAAGTGCGCATTGTTCTTGCATTTCTTGTAGGTTGAGAACTGGTCTTTGTCCATGCAGATGTGAGTGGTTGCACCAGTGTCATACCACCACGTTTTTGGGTTTGGCTCAACCATGTTGACTTCGGTGACCATTGCACACAGATCAGTTTGAGTCAAGTTGGCTTGGCCTTTGTTGTCCCTCAGCCTGCTTCGACATTCATTGGAGGTGTGTCCCTTCTTGTTGTAATAGGTGCACTTCGCAACAAATTTGGTTTTGGGAGTTTCCTTTTTGAAGGAAGTGGATGATGATGGAGCAAACTTGTTTTGCCTTCTTTTGGGAGGAAATTTCCCGTTGCCTTTGACTTTCCCTTTTTCTTTGTTCTTGAACTCTGCTACATTTGCATTGTAGGAGTGAAATGGTTCAGGGTTGACAGGCGCGGTAGCTTTTAGCTCTCGTTTCAAAGACTCATTTTGCAGCCTGGAAATCAGATTTGACAAGGTCATAGACTTCTGCTTATGATCCAGATAGTTTCTGAAGTCTACCCAGCTAGGAGGTAGCTTGTCGATGAAGCAATTCACTATGAAGGTTTCACAGATCTTCATTCCTTCATCAGCAATTTCTTGACAAATCATCTGAAGTTCATGGACTTGTTCCATGATGGGCCTTGAGTCCACCATCATGTACCTCGTAAATTTGGAGGTTGCATAATGCATACCTTCCAGAGGATACATTGAAAGTCTTGTATTTCTTATCCAAAGCTTCCCAGAGATCATTGGATAACTTGATTTCGCAATACACGTTGAACAATTGGTCAACCAAGCGGCTCTGAATGTAGCCTTTGCAAAGGAAGTCCCCATGGACCCATGCTTCAACGCTTGCAACAGCGCGCACATCAGTATTCCCAGCAGGCAAAGCAGGTTTGTCCTCGGGGAGATACCTATCCAAATACAGTGTGCACAGGAAAAAGTGCATCTTTTGCTGCCACTGTTTGAAGTTGGTACCATCAAACTTATCCGGTGAGATACCTGCAGTGATAGCGCTGGGTAAAGTCGTAATATTTATGGGCAGGGATCCGAGTGCTGCATCTCCAACCGCTATGGGTGTTGATTCAGCGACATCTACGGATTTTTCCACGTTTTTCGACATCTGTTCCAAAAAAGAGACAGAAAATGTCAGATTTGTTGAATAGAATCGATAGAATAGCGATTAACAATACAAGTCGCTAATTTATGCGTTCTGCGTAAACGCTATAGAGCGGTCGTAGAATCGCGTTTGAGTTTTGAACTCGAAAAAACGTTCACGGATTTAACCGAGACGATTTACAGACGCGGAAATGAAGTTATTAAAACTGTCCTTGTGAGGTCCAAAAACGTTTCGCGTAACTTGCCAAAGGCCGTCGCAGAAACCGTTTGTGTTTGTAAAAAATAAATCGTTTTTTCCTTAAAACGTTTTCTGAAAATCGTTTGTAAAGCAATATAGAATCCGATTCACGCGATAAGCAGGATCAGATTATTTTGAATTAAGACTGTAGGAAGTAAATTTAGAGGAGCCAAATATTGCAATGTAATCAAACGATTTGAGATACAGAAAAACGTTTTATAAAAGCGCATTAAGGAAAAACGAGAAGTGGAGGCGAGATGATCTCTTTCCTTAATTCAAAATATCTCCCGCAGTGTGGCGGTTGGATGAGATAATGAATCCCATGATACAACCACTGATATTCGTATAATCGCAGCACCCGATTATAGAATGTGACGAACTAGAAATTCTACGATATACTTTCGAACACGTATTCTTGAAAGAAGAAAAGAGACGCGAGAGATTGAGGAAAGTGTGATCGAGTTTTTGTCTGTAAATTTTGAGACGAGCGATTGAGAAATGAGAGAGGAGAGATCGATATATATAGCAAAGGAGAGAGGAGTGTCGCACTTAACCAGCGTGTTAATGATGTGATTAATTGTGCGCTAATGATGCGATTTGGGCGTTAATCTTGACGTGATTTTCGGGATAGACATTTGACTGCAGTTTAATGTTGTGATTCTATAGGAATTTGAACCGAAAACTTTAGCAATTTGGGCCAGAAATATTGACCAAAACGTGGTCCAAAAAGAATATATTTTGTGGTCCCAAGATCCAAGACCCAAGACCCAAGATCTAAGCCCCGAGCCCGGCTCGCTCAGCGGCGGCGGAGCGCAAGGAATCCTCGGTTCTCCTTCAACACTTTGAACAATGTCATGTGTGTGTCTATATTTATATGACTCTGAATTTTTTCAATCCATGAATGTGGGACAAAATGAAGTTCCTCAATCCTCACATTTTAAGTTGTCTTGAAAAGCTTTATTTTTATTCACAATTAACCAAATTCTAAAACTTTTAGACTTTGTAATAATTTGGTCCAACAAAAGATTGAGTTTCCGTGAGACGATGGGCCACTTGGCTGCTATGGTGGGATGTTCTTATGTCACGGCATGCGTTGTATCTCTCTTCGTGGAGGTCATGTGTCGTCCATCGCAAAGGATTTTCGAAGAGGTAGCTATGTTGCTCGGGTTCTTAGACCATCTCCAACCATGGTTTCTAATGAGGAGATCTAATCTTATTTTTTAATAGGTTTTTGTTCATTTTAATGTTTAAGAACCTCTTTTAAAATTTTTCATCGTTTTAGTGTCCATCAGTAGTATCTAGTTGAGAGGCTCTAAAAAATTTGTTTTTACAGATGCATGGTTCTTACCAACTAGCTTTCACTTCCATCAAGAACCATAAAACTAATGCGAAAGCGGAACTTTTTATCCTGGGAACCAATTACTTTAATGCATTTCCCTGTCTTGCAATCTGGTTGACAAAGCAGAAGGAAGCCCTTGAGCGTACAAAGCTTAGCCTAGACAATTAAAGCATACCACATGAACCGGAACCTACACTAAACATAGTGCAAAGTGTTGTAATCACCAAAATGAATTATTATTGTGTTTCGAGAAGCTGACAACAAAACTGAGGAGCATTGGATCTCAAGTAGCAACATGAAGACGCAAATGATTTCAACCACATATGATCCAAACATAATACTAGAAATTACAGCAGAAAGAAAAACGGGCACGAGAAAGATACCCTAGATTCTTGCAGTCCTATCCTCTGACCCCGTCAATATCTGGTTCAAGAGACTTAATACGATTAGAAGAAAATCCAAACCTGGAACTCAAATACGAATATGAAGGTGCACTTGTAATATATATCGAAACACCACCATTACCTGGCTGGCAGAACTACGTGAAATTACACAATGCAAATAGTCTGAATACCCCTTGAAGGTTATTTTGATTTACCACTCTCCTATGAATGTCAGGAAACACATAAATGGTTCTAGGAAGTTTAAATATCTGAATACCACATCTGATGTAATAAAGTGACAAACATTCACAATGATCAACTACATACCACGTCCCAGCAATATGCAGAAGAATCACCCGCCGCCGTAAATACACTTCCTGACTATTATAAACGAAAAATGAGGAACGACTGAACAGTTAATCTGCAACCAAGCAATAAGATGGACATTTCAAGGGGAAAAACACACCACGTCAAGTGAAACTACCAAACCAGAATTAAAAATTCTAACCTCAGAATCAACAGAAATGGCATTGATCTCGGGCATCGGTGAAAGAGCACCCCAAGGACCTCTATGAGGAAAGAAAAAGAATGGTGACTATATGCATTTCTTAAAATAAAGTCTCACCAGGATCAATTATATGAAGAGAAAATCGAACTTACTTGTACAGATGCATGGTTCTGACTTTGCTTGATCGATCAATTGGCCCAGACTTGGCATGTTCGATCAATTGACTCTGACTTTTATGGCTTGATCAATTGTGAACTCGCCGAAACTTGACCCGCCGCCGCCTTCTAGAAAACACGCCGCAGCCTCTGAATATTGGAGAGGAGGACAAGACACCGTCTCGGTTGACTGGAGATGACTCGCCGCCGGAGTTTCACTCCAAGAAGATTTGGGTTTTCTTCGGAGATATCAAAGAATATAGAAGAGGTTGAGTTTTCCATATCTAAAATAAAAATGAGAAAGCTTTCATTTTGAGAAAGAGTGTTTGATTTAAAAATAAAAATAAAGATTAAAAACCCTCAATCCAATCACGAGGCGACACGTATAGGTCTCTAATGGGTCTCTAAAAACTACTAAACTAGAAACGTCTCTACTTATATTAAGCTTTAAAACATTATTTTTTAATCAAATAACAGCTTAAAACCTCATTAGAGACTGCTGTTGGAGGTGGTCTTAACTTTTGCGTTTTTGTTCATGGCTGAAATGTGTTATTATCAAATTCTCAGCCACCACTTTGAATGGTGAAATATTCGGGCACCCCTTCGAGTTCTATCCCATCCAACACTCTATTTAGTGTGTCACCTCCCATCGTGCATTGGGAATGACATAATGATGCATATTATTTCAGATAAAAGAATCATGAAATCGATACTCAAAAACCTCCTCCCCAACACTTTTTCAGTTCCCAACGTTAGAATTTTATTCTACTCTTCATCACCATAATATCGAGGGCTGATGGACAATATCTAGAATTACTTGTCAATCAGACCAAACCCTAAAAAGCCTTTCAAGTTGTTCTTTCTCATTGTATGAGTAAACTCTGTGTACTCGTGCTAGGGTTATATATCACATATTCACCTTCTTATTTTTCATCTGCTGCATATTAAAAAAACAAGAAAATCTTGAAAATCAATTAAGGAAAGTTAAGCTAGCAATTTAGAACAGAAAACATTACATGATATTTAAGAAAAACTTAACACAGAAACCGAAAATTAAAAAATTCTGCTGCGGGACTTCGAATCCGGATTTCAAAGCGTGGTAGAGACTTAATGTCAAACGATAAAATTAACCAGCTGATCTTGTTAATTTTATATTTAATTAAATTAAATAAATTTATTATTACCTGTAAACTTAGATGATTACAATTAGCCTTTTAAAAGGTTTAAAACACACTGTCACTATCAAAATTTTATTCAACAAACTACATATGAAATCAGACTCCCAAGACCTTGCAAAAATCACTAAGGAGGATCCAACCAAGGAAATACTCGATAATCTATGTATCTCCATTGATTATATCGCACGCTCAGCCAACATATTGGCCGATGGGATCACAAAAACAGTCACTACATCATAATCCGACTATGAATGAAAACCGATGCTCAAAAAAAAAAAAAATTCCAAATAACAGTTAACAAGTACTACAAGAAATTCACCGGAAAACGTCACTTAATTAACCTCATTTCGTTAACCGACCTAAAAACTTAATATTAGAAGGGAGTTAGCGTCATTTCTTTAACCGACTTAACTCTTAATACCTAAATATAAATAAATGGCTCTTGAATTAAATAGGCATGCAAAATAAAATATCCAGGTTTGCGAGTGTGCAACTCCAAAGACGAAGAGCTCATACGAGGGTATTCCAAGACGAAGTGCTCTCCGAAGACGAAGAGCTCAGTCATTCTCATTATTTTTCGGCAATATCCAGGTTAAAATCGATCGATCCTCTATTAAGATTTAGTTTCAACGATCTATCCGTATCTCAATTTGATCCACTGGTTAGATTTCTGTCTCATATGCTTCACTTCTCAAATTGCTATGTATAGTCGAATTGTATGAGATTTTACTGTGTTTCTGATTGATTACATGATTCTGATATGGATCCATGAAGATATTTGGAGGTGGAACTTTCAGAAATCATTGTTCTAGGCTTAAGGGGATTTTATTTTGTTTCAGTCACTCTCTCTCCGTGACGTATTGGAAAATGTTGTTGTGTTTGATTGAAAAGGTTGAAATCAACAAGGATTCATTGGGGTGAATTGTTCAGATAAAATTTTCGACTATGAATCACAAAAAAGGAAAAGTTGAGTTTAAGGTAATACTTAATCAGATCCCAAGTTGATTTGATTTCTCTACTTTCTCAGAATTTGGAAGAAATTGTTGTGCCCGAGCTGAGATTTTGCTGTTACTAATGCTAAATTTGTTGGCCCGGGCCAAGACTCTCTCTTTGTGATTCTGAGTTTTGGATATTTTGGTAATTGCTCTATATTCATTATCCTCTTAAAGCTACTCTTATCTTATGTGAGAAGCCTTGAGTTGGATCTTTTGTGCTATAGATTTTGAGTTTAATGTAGCTTGGCTATTGCAATTTTCAGGCATCTGTTATAGAGGAGAGGAACCAATGTAAATCCTTCTGCTCCAATCCCTTTTTATAGGTAAATTTAAATCGCAGGCTTGTCACATGAATATCCTCTAATAATCTTGCATCAAAGCCTTGGGTTGTTGGCAATCTTGTGCTCGAACATATTTGAATACCAGAGTGATCTTTGCTTCCTTTCTGCAGATACTTTCAATGAATTCAATGGTCATTCAACACATGGGTCATTCAATGTGAGGTACGAAAAACACTACAATTGCAAGCTTCAGTCTTCTTAAATTGTTCAACCATTTGTTTCTAATATTGAACTAATAATCAACTATCATCAGTCTAATACTCCATTTAGTGACTAGTTCTTTCTAAATTGTCCAGGCTTCTCTCTCGTCTTCAGTTACTGAGTGTCACACACGACAATGGATAACCACTCTGTTCCTTAAGGTATGACTGCTCGTGTAACTGAGTGTCACACATAACAATGAATGGGTTCACATTTGTCCTCCCATATGCTTTGTTTCTGAGATTCGTACGGGGTTTTGTTTCATCTTTGAGTAAATCAATTAATGTTGAAACAAAAAGCTTCAGCTTGAGTCTAAATTTGAAGTTGTTCTTTTGAGGTTTCCTCTTGGCTAGAGAGAGCATTTGTGAGGCCTTCAATTTTCTGATCTCAGTTAATCATTTTCATTGCTTCACCATTATACAGGCAGACATAAACGATGATGTCAAGTTCATACTAAATCAAAATATAGATGTATAGCTGACGAGATATCAAAGTGATCAGGTAATAGATGAAGATAACGCATATAAAATATATTGTCAATTGATTCATGCCTTAAAGAGTACGACTTTCTGGGGATTCTCATAATGCCGTTCTCGATCAAATGCTTTGGATGGATGGTACCATTTTGCTAGCTCAGCAACTCTTGTTGTTCAAACGTTCAACATTTGGAGGTATTTCATCCAACTCTAATCATTTTTTTTTCATGCCTCAACCATATAGGTCAATACAATTTTCTATTGGCAATAAATTATGTAATTTTATTTGGTTTTCAGGCAAGTAGAGTTACTAGAGCTACAATTTGGAAGGCTTTGAAGAGTTGTCTTAAGACACAAACACTATACACTAATCTTGTGTTATAATTGCCAATTAATCACCAAGACCCAGTTAAAACAAAACCGCTCGTTGAGCTCCAACATATAACACAACTTGTGTCCCCCCTCTTTCTATCTCTTCCATTAGCCTTACAGATCGTTATCATTGTTTTGTGTATATTTCTTTTTTTTTTCGTTTTTAAATTTTCTGAATAATTTTATTTCTTAAAGGACTACTGTATATATGTATCTGAATCTGAAGAGATGATTTCAATGAGAAGACTCAAACAAATATATTAAGCAAAACTAATCAGGAATTCCAATTTCCATTTTCGTTTAAGAGTAGGAGAATCACTAAATGTATATTCACTGATGAGAAGCAGAGTATGAAAGATGGAATAAATGTTTTCTTCAACGTCATGATGACGTCTCTCTCTTTGTAACAAACCTTATCCACACTTGATGCAGACCTTTACCCCGGCTCAGAGATATTCAGCCCAGCTGCCTTAGATCCGGACTTGGGTCTTAAGCCCAATCGAGATTGTTGAATGGAACCAATAGAACCCACAAATATGATAATTGTAGTTGCTAAATTCCACACTCAAAAATTTGTATATAGTTTTAGGAAAGGCATTTATAACGATATGTCCGATTTGTCTTTAAATCGATTGAGTATAAAAATGTATTTAAGAAATTGGATTTTTATTGAAATAATCGGAGATGAATACATGATTTCTCAAAAAAAAGAATACAAAAAGATAACTGTAATTTTAGGATTTTTCCGGAGGAAAGATGTGTGTTCTTTGTATGTTGCGAGCTCTTTTTATACTTCTCTTCGAAATTCGAACTGCCACTGCATATCTCGGACCATTTCGTGTTATGCCGTTTCCGTGATCTCTGTAACGGCTCCGAGCTGTTAGAAGAATATCTTTGACTTTGACTGGATATCTCAGAGCTCGGAGCTCGCTTAGTTTGCATGTACGAGACGACACTTAGTTGGTCCGCGAATGGGTTGATGGGCTGAATCCTGCATTTTAGGCCGATATTTATCTGGCCCAACTCCAAATATTCGATTATTTAGAAAGGCCCGACTCCTAGATTACTAAACTATCCTCTAAACCTATGTTTATTAATAGTTCGACACACTATTAATTTTTTTACTAGATTAACCTCGTATACCAAACATGCTCTTTTGAGTTTTGTTGAGAAAAACGTTATCACAAAAATGCCATTACTTTTTATGTACCACATAAGCAAAAAATAGCACGGAATAAAACATAAATTTACCACTATTTGTAGTACATTTGTTAAAATTTGGTCAACGCAAATTGTTGGTATTTATTTAACGGAAGTTAGATTTGTTTAAATTTAGTAGACTTGTTTTGGTAGACATATTTTAATATCTTAGTAGACATATTTTTTGTTGGTAGACATATTATTTATTGGTAAATTTATTGTTCTTTATGATAGACTTATAAATATTCCGTTGACTTATGGTAAGTGTTTGACTTTTTGGTAGATTTAAATACTAATAGTGACAGATTTATTTTAAAATTTGGTAGACTTATTTATAATAGTGACAGATTTATTTACTTTGATGTACGATAGATTTATTTAGGTTGGTAGATTTATTACTATTTATGATAGCTATATTAAAAATTTGGTAGATTTATTAGTATTAATGATAGATTTAAAATCGTCAAAATTCAGTAAATAATGTGGTAGGTTTAATTACAAGTATGATAACTTTATTAATTCTTGGTAGATTTAATATTTCTGATTTACAATCATGATAGATTTATATTTGTTTTTGGTACTTACTCATATAATTTCTATTTGGAAAAATATTGTTCAGTTTAGTAAACTTATAAGTATTTGCGAGGATGATAGACTTATAAATCTTATTTACTGGTATACATTTGACTTTTTAATACGGGAAATGATAGTTTTGCACACATTTATTCTCAATTGTACAAAAAAAATCAGACATCCAATTTTTCTAAGTATGAAAGGTTTTAGTGTTTTATGGTAGATTTATTGTAACGATGGTAGATTTGTTTTCTTAGATGATTTTTTTTCATTAACCTTTGTATGAACGTATATTTCAGTGGATATATATTCAGTTGGCAAGTACTACATTGAAAGAAAAAATATGTATGTGGTAAACTTGATCTTGATAAAATCTCTTGTGTACATATCATAGCCACCGTAAGCAAGAAAAACTTCACCTATATCTACCTATGTCATCCCTTTTACCAAACGAACCACTTGCAACATGCTTATGCGAATAGTGTAATGCCAAGATATGTACAACTTGTTTCGAACTCTCTTGTAATAATCGATCTATCAGACTTGTACGACTTTCTGCATTTTCGAACTCTCTTGTAATAATTGGTCTCTCGAACTTCTCGTATTTAATGCAAAATATTTTACGGTTTAGACAACAAATATACCAGACTTTCAGAGGACCAACATCATGCCAAAAAAGCATGATCCTTTGAAAGTATAGTTAAAGGAATAAGTCCTAATAACAACTGACCAAACAAGTCTACCTTGGTTGACATAACAAGTCTACCATCAGTTCAAATAAAAAATCTACTAAATCTGTATCTATAATCTGTATAAGAACACGCCGGATCGATGCCGCAAATTCCGTCGGAGACTCGTTTGCTGCAGCAAAGCGCATAACCTGTTAGAGAAGAACAAACAAAGATCATCATTCATATGCAAAGTTCAAAAATACGACTACAAATCTACCATAATAAAACGATAACTCTACAATCATTAACAAACAAATCTACCATCAATCGTCCAATAAATCTACCAAACCACATATCATTTTCAAATAAATCTACCATCAAATAACTAATAAATCTACCGAATCACATATCATATTTAACATTCATGACCGGAATCTTTTGCTTTCACCGGAATCTCGATTTAAAAACCCAGATCTGAAAAAAAGATCTTCTTTGGCAGAAGAAGAAGAAGAAGAAGATAATAGAGAGAAAACAAATTGAGGACGATCAAATATTGATGTGATGGCATTGTTCCGCGATTGGACTGCCTCGATCCTTCGCACCGTTAGATTGACGGTCGAGATTAAAAGAATCAGGACGGCTTCGTGATTCTGAATAACTGTCATCATTATAACTTGCCTGCCCAGCTTCACACGTCTCCCTTTTCCAACACGATTGTTCGGGGAATTTATTCCTTTATTTAAGAAGGCATTCTTCCTAATATTTTTTACGCTGTGAAAATCTTTTGGAAAGTTTCCAGTTGAAAATTTAAACTCTCTAACTTCCTTTTCTTTCTAAGAATGTCGCGGAGCAGTACAGAAGTAACCGAGATCAGGCACGCCAGTCCTCACCCTCGATTGGTCGTCACGCACGCTGACCTTTCCAACCTCCGCTGCATCCATGGCATTCCGCTGGAGGTGGAGATAATCCTTCCCAGAGAAGGGGAATCCCCGGAAGTGGTTCTTCCGGGGTATTGCTATGCCTATACCACGTATTTCGAAAAGTGTGGGCTCTTCTTCCTAATCCTGTCCTTTATGCTCGGGATTTTGGCTCAGTTGGGAATGGCGTTCCTGCAAATGTGCTCTAATTTTGTCTGCCATGCACTTGCTTTGGCGGTGAGGGCGTGCGAGGAAGGACTGGAGTTTGGTGCCGCCGAGCTTCACCAAATGTGCTCGGTGAAGCACAACACGGGGTACTTCGGGCCGGGATGTTTTATATCTCTCCGCGCGCGCAGCAAAAAATCTTTGAGGAGACCCCACCGCGGGACGACCGCTGGAGTGAGAAGTTCTTTTTATTCAATATCGATCTCTTCTTCATGGGGTACTTCGAGTTCGATTCCATCCCGATCGCTTGGACTAATTTCGTCGGTGAGTTTATTCATTGATAGATTTTTTTGTTTCGGGTTACATGTTCCCCGTACTTTTTATGATCGGTTCTCTTGCAGAGACTCCAGAGGGGGTTACCATGCATGATTCTCTCCGCCACAACTCCCAAGCTCTTCACCGAAGGAGGCCCACGTGGGCGGAAATGTCTCGTGAAAGTGTGCTCCACGTTCTCGATCCTTAGAACCGTCCCCGCTCCAAGGTAAATGAGTAAGAACTTGTTTTATTATCAGGCCGGTTTTGAATATCAGGTCACCTAATTTCGACCTTTATTTGTTCAGCGGCTTGACGAGCCAACCCCCTCCCCGAACCGTTGGACTCTGAGTCCTCTTCGTCGCCCGAGGGACTTTCTTCGCCTTCTTCCTTGCCTTTAACGATCCGGCAGAGACCGACCTACACGAAGGTCGAGAGATCTCAGTCTCAGGCTCCTGCCGACGGATCCATTGCGGCGAATGAGGACGTTGCGTTCTCGTGCTCGAGCTAGCCGGGAAGAAGGGGTTTCATCTATACGTCTGCAGCTGCTATGGAAATGGTATTGGGTGTCTCCGCACGGTCCCTGCTGGGCGTTGTTCCGAAGGCGAGGCTTCCTGGTCAGAGCTCCGAAGCTCGTCCTCCAAAAAGGCCTAGGGACGAAGGTGGTGTCGTAGCAGGTCCTTCCAGAGGCGGCAACACTGGGGCCGGTCCTTCTGGAAGTCGGGCCGGAGATCTCTCCTCTCGCGACTGTGCTGTAGCTGCTCGGACGGTGTACAAGCGTTTAACCGAGTAACTTGCTCAGATTTCGATTCGGGTTGTTCGTAGTGCTACAGGGTTCAAATGCGAATTCTGTTTTTTAATTTTCGTGTTTTGTATGCGATTGTGGCGAACGCGGAATTAGGGTCCCTTTTAAGAGGCTTTTCATTCTCTGTTCCTGCTAACAACGAGGTCGAGTTCCTTCGGGAGAAGTTCGACTCCCTCAAAGTCGAGCTTTCAGAGACGGTGGCGATGGCACAAGAGTTGAGAGATCTCAGAACGTGGAGATCCGTGCTGCTCGGAGGTATGAAGATTTCGTTGTCTGGGTCGCACGGTTGGTCGAGGAGCCGGACGCTGAGAAAAGATGTGTCGTTTGGGCTGGGAAGAGAGAGGTCTCTGGGCGGTACCAGACTATTTTCGCTACCGTCCTAGAGCAGTATGATAAGAAGATGGTGGAGGTCGACTGGGAGATTATGCTCCAAGAACTTCAAGCCAATCTTGAGGTCGTGACAGATATTGCGTCCGGAGCCCTTTCTGCT